AGTAACATGTTTTCTCCTGATGACTTGAAGAGACAAGGTTGAATAATTCCTCGACAAGCTATTCATTTGGATTGGTTTCAGAAAACACAGGATCAGGCTGTACATTTTCTGAATCATTATCAGGGAAAACCTCAGATTGCAGAGAAGGAACAATGTTATTTACATGCAACCAAGTCAATTCCCATAAGCTATCTCCACCGAGGGCGCTTCTCTTAACAAGTACCCCCTTAGACTTCATTATAGTCAAGGTGTTCTTCAGAAGTTCAGGGACTAATTCCTGAAGCTTTTCACTTTTTTTACCTCTAACTTTCACCTTCATACATTTTTCCATCCTGTTGAGGACACCCAACCACAGTTTACAGAATGTGGTCAATTGAGATAGCTCATGCAGCAACTGGTGAAAAACTTTCGCAAGGAGCTTTAAGGCAAGAACAAGTGTCTCTTCCATGTTTCGGTAGTCTTTTTGTGATGCAAGCTCAATCAAGTCATCCAACATTGTGAAAATGACCATATCAAAGCACTGTAACCATACACTATTTGGAAGGTAAATTTCATGATCTCCTTTCAGGCACATTTGTAGGGATAAAAGAGCATGATTCCGAACTTCTCTCTGATCCAAGCTAACTTTCCTCAGTCCCTGTACAAGCCTCAACCACATGTCTCCAATATCTTGGGACAACTTCACAGCTTCAGTCTCTGCCAGAGCTTCCCTAGTATCTTTGGACCAGCATGCTAAACTAGCAACTGAACCTGCCATAAGATCCACCGCGCGAGCAGGTCTATCCGCAGGTCCAACACGAGACTCTGCAAAATTTCTAGCTGCATCGATGCAAAGAACATAATTAGCTGGGGACAAATGGGCTCCATCAGACATAATGAAAACCAGGGCATCGAATCCTGCTTCAGAAGCTTCTGGATGTCTTGCTGTTATAGAAAGTAAAAGAGTAATCGTTCGCCATCCCATTTGAGAACGAATGTGCGTGGCATTTGCTTTAACCAGCCGACTGACTTCCTGTGTAATCTGCTCACAGTATGCATCAGCAACCCGGGCGTCAAGCTTGAGAACAAGTTGTAGTGATCTCAAAAGTTCATCAGCTAAGTTCTCTTTATAGGGAAGCAACCTCAGGCAGATGCGAAGGAGTCCAAATATAGCTTTCTCAATCAAAGCACAAGGCATTACTGTTGAGTGGACAATACTAGCAATATGCTCATAAACTCCCTGCCAAAGAAGTCTAATTCTATCTCTGTTGTTCAAGGTGATCGCAATCAGCAGTTCCAAGCAGAATACTGCAGTGTCTTCATCTTCAGGAGAACTACTACCCTTCTGAGGTCTTCCTGCAGCCCATATGAGAGCCCGTGCCAACTGTAGCAAGGAATCAGCTAGAAGAAACTTACTTTCTGTAAAGATGCTATCAATGCGACACTTCTGAATTGTCTGCAGTGTGCGTTGGTGAGCAGCAAGTTGTTGCTCAGTAGGTTGAGACCTTGGCTCTTCAGTATCTAAAGATAGGAGCTGACTAAATCGCCCCATAAGTCCAGAAGATCTTCTAGGAGTACCTATGGATTGCAAATGTGCAGAAGATAACGAATTAGGCAAGGACTTCCCATGTCCTGTATCAGAAGGTGCCTCTGAGTCATCAGCTGCATCACTTGTCACACGAGCAGGAAGAAGGCCAAGCTTGTGCAATCTCAAGATGCAATCCAAGATATTTCTCCAACCAGTACGGATAAAATCACCGTATTCATT